TTTCTCTGACCTTATCTCCCATAATTTATCTTCTGACACCAATTTCCAAGCCAGAGTGTTCTTGTGCTATTTCTTGAGCATGACAACACACTCAACAGGTCGTTGAAACCTGCTCTTTTCTTAGGCTAGAATGCTCACTCCCTCACCTCCTTCATGTCTTTGCCGAAATATCACTTTCACAGTGAAACTTCCCCTAAGTACACTATTTAAAATTGTACTTTACCCACTACCCGCAGCTGGGCCCCTTCATTTGCCTTTCTTACTTATTTCCCTCAATAGCATTTATCATCATCTGGCATATTATATATTTCATTTGTCCTGGTTTTGTCTGTATGACTCATCTAGAATTAAACTATAGTGTAGCAATATTTTTTTGTTCATTTGAATCATTATTATATCTCCAGCAATTAGATTACTGGAGATGGCCTTTAATAAATATTTGTTGAATGAGAAAGAGAATAAAGTGGATAAATGAGAAAGAAAATATTTTTATTATTTTATTATTTGTTTTTAGTATATCTGTTATAGTTACCAGTTATTGTCTTTTCCTTTTAATTAAACATTCTGCTTAACATTCTATCTATAGATATTCTTTTAAATCAGTAATATCTATATTCAATATACCTCCCTTTAAAAAAGTAGAGATTTTTTTCTCTAACTCCTTCCATTTTGCATGTTTTTTCAAGGACATTTGATGTCATGAGTCCCTCTTTAGGCAATTTTAATACTCTATGGTAGGTAAAATTCTTCTGAATGTGAAGATTCAAATTAATTTAAAGTGTCCAGGAAGTAATTTTCTTATGTTCCAAATTTCCTACCCATGCTGTTTCTACGATTTCCACTTTGAAGAACTTAAAAGGAAAAGGAAAATGACATCAGACTTAGGTAACACTATTTTTATTTTATCAGATCATTTGTCTCTAACAGTAAGCAATAAACAGAAGCAAAAAGCCAACATCTCTTGATTTTCCTAGTAAATAAGATATTAAAAAACATTAACCTAATCCCTGTTTGTTTTGAGGTATGGCTGTTGCATTACTATTTATGGATGGATGGCACTTTAACAATTGCTCTAAATATTTTCCTCATTCAATATATTGGGTTGTTTAAAGAACTACATTTTCCCTCCTGATTGGAATCTTTTATAATTGTAGTTTTCCTCCTGTGATGCCACAACTTTTACAATTCCCTACCCTGGAGTACAAATAATCTTTCATTTAAATGATGAAGTTGGCTTTCCCATTTTCCTAAATGTATATCCAGTGAACATTTTCATCACTGGTAATACAAGATACTCATTTACATGCCATCAATTCATATCAATCTATCTTTGTTATTCAAAATTAAGTGCCTAGTAGAGGTTCTCTGGTCTAACCTTCTGAAAGATTAAATTGTCACCAAGACAATTATAAAAATTAATAGGACTTCTAGTGAGTTCCCCATAATTACTCTGTCTTGGCTGTATGTCAACTTTGTAATCTGTTTTAGGAAATAGTTATCCACGTTACTTTCTTTTTTTATGTGCTGGATCATTTGTCATCTATTTTTATAAGAGATAGTTTATTTCACTTTCTTTGGATTCACTCAATGTTTATCAATGTTATTTTATAATCATTTTTATGGAGCTTCATGTAAGTATATAGTTTCTTGCTATTTGATGCCTTTGCTCCATTATTCTATTCCTTTTAAATAAGTGACATTTTCTCACTGCCATATCCAAGTGAAAATTCCCATCCCACAAGTTTCTGGTAATATCAAGGATACTATGTCTTTTCTTTATGTTAAAATTTCAAATTTTCTCATTCTCTCTCTCTCTCTCTCTCTCTCTCTCTCTTTCTCTCTCTCTCTCTCTCCAGCATCAGAGATGCTTTACCCCACTGTTTGCCAAGTATTAAGAATTTAACCTTCCAATTTTATTTCCCTCCTCTGTAAAGAGGAATGATAATATTGATCTCAAAATACAGTTGTGAAATTCAAAGAAATCTTGAGAAAGAAGAACAAAGTTGGAGGTATCACCCTACCTGATATGAAACTATACTACACAGCTATAGGAATCAAAACAGCATGCTAATGCCATAAAAACAGACACATTGATCAATGGAACAGACTGGAGAGCCCAGAAAGAAACCCATGCCTTATTTGGTCAACTAATCTTTGACAAAGGAGACAAGAGTATGCAATGGGATAAAGACAGTCTCGTCAATAAATTAGTGTTGGGAAAACTGGACAGATACACGCAAAAAAAAAATGAAACTGGACAACTTTCTTATCCATATACAAAAATAAACTCAGAATGGATTAAAGACTTAAATGTAAGACCTGAAACCATAAAACTCCTAGAAGAAAATATAGGCAGTAAACTCTTTGATATGGCTCTTAGCAATATATATATTTTTTATATATGTCTCCCCAGGCAAGGGAAACGAAAGAAAAAAAATAAGCAAATGAGACGATATCAAACTAAAAAGTTTTTGTACATTGAAGGAAACCATCAACAAATCAAAAATACAACTTACAGAATAGAAGATATTTGCCAATGATATACCCAATAAGGGATTAACATCCAAAATACATAAGGAAACCAATCAACTTAAAACCAAAAACAACAACAAACAAACAAATAATCCAATTCAAAAATAGGCAGAGGATCTGAATAGACATTTCTTCAAAGAAGACATTCACAGAAGACAAATAGGCATATGCAAATATACTCAACATCATTAATCATCAGGCAAATGCAAACCTAAACCACAATGAGATATCATCTCATATCTGTCTGAATGGCTATCTCAATAAATCAACAAACAATGAGTGTTGCTGAGGCTATGGAGAAAAGGGAACCCTTGTGTACTCTTGGTGAGATTGTAAATTTGTGCAGTCACTATGTAAAACAGTATGGAGGTCACCAAAAAATTAAAAATAGAACTACCATGTGACTCAGCAATTCCACTTCTGGATATTTATCCAAAGAAATCCAAAACAACTAATTAGAAAAGATATATGCACCCCTATGTTAATTGCAGCATTATTTATAATAGCCAATATATGGAATCAACATTTAAGTGTCCATCAGGAGATAAAAGGATAAAAAAGAAGTGGTACATGTTTTTGATGGAACATTACCCAGCCATGAAAAAGAATGAAATCTTACCATCTGCAAAAACATTGATGGACCTAGGGGGTACTATGCTAAGCAAAATAAGTCAGACAGAGAAAGACAAATACCATGTGATTTCATGTATATGTGAAATCTAAAAAACAAAGTAAATAAAACAGAAACAAGCTTCTGAATACAAAGAACAGGTTGACCGTCACCAGATGGGTGGGAGGTTGGGAGGATGGATGCAAAAAAGGAAGGAAGATGTACAAATTGCCGGTTATAACAACAGTCATGGGGATGAAAAGAACAACATAGGGAATATAGTCAATAATATTGCAATAACTACGTATGGTGTCTAGATGGGCACTAGGCTTATTAGGGTGAGCTCTTCATAAGGTACATTAATGTCTAATCACTATGTTGTACACCTGAAACTAATATAACATTGTATGTTAACTGTAATTGAAAAATACGTTTAAAAAATAAATAAAATGTTTGTTCAGGTAAAGATATATATATATATATATATATATATATATATATATATATAGTTGTGAATATTAAATGAGGTAATATGTGCCAAGTGCTTAGGCTGATTCTCTTGATGCACAATAGGTCTTCAGGAAGCCAATGCTGAAAAATATGTTCCTCTCATCTTCTAGTGGTAGAGGAGTTTGCATCATCAGACACAGTGGTGGATGACTGGTTACCTCCATTTCTGTTTAGTTTGATTTTCTCTGAAACCCATGCTTATGGTGAACATGTAGGCATACAAGTTCTTCTCTCATTTTAAGAATATAAAGTAATAAACCTATCATTCAGAAATACAGATGTAAGAAATGCAAATTCTGCAGGCCAGAAAACATTTTGAATGAATATTTAAAATCATTTGCGAAATTACGTGAATGGTGATTTTATTCATTTTCATTCACTGTATTTTATAAATACCCATTGCAATTGAAAAAAACACACCAAATACTTTGTAACATTTTCTCAATAGGTAATGTAAAAATTCTGACATTTCCAAACCTCTCTCTCTCCACTTACACATATATTGGCTGAACACCATAAGATTTCTGAGTAGAGGAATAAAGAAAACCTAATGTCTTAGTCCCTTTATATTTGAAAGATTGACCAATATATTAAAAATGTAATTATGAGCATATTTTATTTTGCATTATCAAATACTAATGATAGTTTTTATATGTTTTCTTATACAAAAATTAAATTCTTAATTTTACATGTTGGTGATTCTTACAATTACAAAATTGTCTTGACATAGGTGTGTGTGAAATGAAGATAACCCAATTTTTCACAGAAACTCATCTATCAAGTGTAGTCTATGTAAAGATTGTTTTTCAATGAACAGTAATTGTCACTCTGAATTAAGCAGAAAATTTCTTGCCATCTCTTATTTTCTAGGAAATTATAGGTTATATTGATTGAAATCAATTATATGGGTTAAAAGCTTAATCAACAGTTAACCACAGGAATTATTATTTTTAGTAATTAGTTCATTTCACTCATCTTTTATTATCTGACGAATAAAATCAAATGTACATTCATTCACTCACTCAACAAACACCTAGAACATATATTATGTTCCATTTGATTTTCTTTGTAGTATTAATGACCTGCATGAATGTTTTGTTATCATTTTGTTATGTGAAACAGATCTTTAACACTTTACCCTCTACCCTCCCATAAAACTATTTTAAATTTGCCTTATTATTTTTGCAAGTTAAAAGAAATTCTTAAAATGCTCCAATTTCAATATTGGCAATTCAGTTCATATTTATGTATCGGTCACATTTTGAACTTGCACCAATATTTAAATCTTACAATAATCAGATACACCACTTTGAATTTGTCATTTTGTAGATAGTGACAATTTGTTCTATTAATCCATAAGAGGGACTTTCACATTTATTAATTCAAATGTGCTGACACATTTAAGGCCTCTTTAACTCCATTTAACTGTTGCATCTGACTGGAGCAAGACTGATGGCAAAGATCTTGACTTTGAAACACCGGTTGAATTAATGGATTCAAGTGGATGATAGAAGTTGCGGCTGAGTTTAAGTGAGGGCCAAACAATGTGGGGATAAACGCTGTGGGGGGCAGTGGCTGAAGTGTTATGTGAGATGGGTGGAAGGGGGTAGCAGTGACTAAATGCAGGGGGTGACCTGCTATGAAAGTGGGGTGTGCAGGGATGATAGTTGGAGTCAGAGGTGAAAATGTGAATGGAGCAAAATGTGGCTGTGAAAGAGCATGTAGACGAGCTAGAGGGAGGTGATTGCTCTGGGAATTTATGGAAGCAGAAACGGCAAAATGCTGCAGGAACGTATGGTGGATGGTGGTGAAAGAAGTATGCTGGTGAACTGGGACTGTCTGCACGGCTGAGGCTGCAGAGAAGGTAGTCGGCCCTGGAGCAGGCAACACTCGGAGATGCTTTGATAGGAGCTGTTTCTGCATATGCTGCTGGGCTTGGAGCTGTAGGAGCTTATATTTATCTATTTCATCAGGAGAAAATGTTATTGGCTGTTGAATTAAAGGGGGAGAGAGAGATTTATGACACAATTCAAATTCATCTGCTACTTTGTCATGCTTCTGCATAGTTCTGTCATGGTAAGAGTTTATATTCCCCTCTACGTGATTCACATGCATGCTTACATCTTGTAAGTTTCGGTTTATTTGGTCCTCTTTGGTCTCTGTTGAGTCAGTAACACCAGTGTATCTATTAGATGTAAACGCACCAGGAAAATCATTTGGTACTGGGTCACAGCTTTGAATAAAAGGTTGGGCTTCACTCATTAAAGGTTTTGATTGTTCTTTTGTTGCTGGGCTCTTTTTAATGTTTGGTGACTGAGAGTCTGCTGCTATGTGAATTATACCTTTAGAAAGATGGTTATCACAATCAGTGTCTACGAAAGCAGTAAAATTATTTTTCTGTGAACTGTTGACTTTGTCTTTCTCAATAGTTCTTTGAACTGCACTGCCTTTATCATCTCTTCTTTTACTTGTGTTCTGTATTTTTTCAGACAAAGGCAATGCTGATCTATTACAGCCTGGTGGTTTAAGTTGAATTGTGCATTGGATCTGTGAATGAGCTTCTGATTCATTTTTACAACTGTTTGAAGAGACCTCAAAATTAGTTGATTGTTCCTGACACTTCTTGGCTTGAACTCTTTCTAAAAGGCATTTGGCTGTCAGGGAGGTCTTCTTTCCTTGTGTAATGTTCGATTCTGCGGTTTCTGAAGGGTGGCTGGAACAATTCCTTAGAAGACAGCTGATATTCCCAGAGTCACACGGCATGGGTTTTACTTTTTCCAGATCACAAATGTGAGGGCTATGCAATGACTGTTGGCTTCTTTCACTTTTATTTAGGTAATAAGTTCTGTCTCTTGGGTAAGAGCCCAGTCTGCTGTGCTGAGGCCCCTGACAATTAGGTGGTTTTCCACTGTTCCCAGCACAGGAAACCTGTGAGCTAGTATCACAATGGGTGATTGTCCCGGATTTTGGCACTGAAAATTGTTGTTGATTTTTGCCCTGTTTATATCTCTCTTTGCAGTGACCATATCTATGTTTTGAGTATTTTTCATTTTTAAGAGATTCCCACAATTTGCAGTTTCTATCTGTCTGTGATTCAGGCTGCAGGCAGTCACTCTTTGCTATCTCACCAGACAAGCAAAGGCAGCTGTGCTTTCTGTGTTTCCCTTTGTGCCTTTTAACTGACTTGCATTCTCTTTTACAAAAGCAGAGCAAACTGTCTCTGCCATTACCACTGGACCTATGACTTGAGCAAGCACTTCTCAAGCTGGATGTACTGTCAGGGGATGTGTCTGAAGGGCTAGAATGTCTGTTTAGAGACAACTTTGGGGAACTTCGTTTGTAACCTCGGTTTCTGCATGTAGAAACCCTTCCAGTCATGCTGATGTGGCTACTATTTAAAATCACACTGAAGTTCTTCCCAGGGTCATTGTGACCCCTTACAGTATAAGGGTGAGAATTCCAGGTGAACTGATGCCCATCTTCAAAATCTGAATGAGAACCACAGGAAATCAGTTTATGCTTTTTAGTTCTAGTGATGTAAGGAGTAAATGATAGGTCCTCATTTGCATCATTTAGAACCACCCTTTGGCAGCTTTGCCAATGGGCCCTTGAAGATTCCTTGAGTTCATGATCACTATTACTATTGATTCCTACACAATTCTTCAGAGAGATATCAAGGTAAGCAGGCACTTCAGGACTTTTTGTGTCCAAATCACTTGCACTAAAATTATGCTTATTCATATCTGGCTCAGAATCACTGTAGCCCAAATTATATTTTCTCTGAAAATTTTCCCAATCCGGATTCGCTATCATCATCTTTGGTTTCAGAGATGGATTATCTTCTTGGATCAATTTTTGTTGGTCTTTGATTAAACCTGAGACTTGGCTCTCTATTTTAGTCTTCATTTCTAAGGGCTCCTTAATCAATTCTGTTTTAAAGTCCTCTGGATCATGGCCATCCTTTGTATTGCGAGAAAGCTTAAAATCAAAATATAATGGGTTGCAGCCATAAGAGATGCAGGGTTCTGTTTTTGTAAAGAGCAGAAGTTCTGTTGGCCATTGGAGAGTGGTATGGCCATCCTTGCTTTGTACATGGAGAAAAGGCAACGGTTTAGATTTCACATCATGGGGACATGCTTCTCTTATAAGCCTTTGCATATTTTTGCTAACTCTTTCAGTTTCCTCTAAAGATTTTTCTCTCTTCTCCATTCTGGAGTTGGAATTCAGACACACTGGGCTGTTTCGCTCACTTGGCTCTAGTGATGGAAACCCATCCAGGCACTCAAATATCCTGGCATCGCAGTGCTTGGGAATGGTTGGTGGGCTGGAGGAAGCATTTGCTTGGCATGTGTGATTAACGCAGTTTTCTGAAGGGTTCTTCAACATATTTCTAGTTTCTTT